CCGGTTTCTCCGTGGCCGCTTGAAAGAGCGTACGCTCGGGACACTAGGAAACCCTTTCTAGCCTCTGTAGCGCGAGTCACGTGGTATACAGGGTTCCAGGAGGCGGCCCGCCCTATGAGAGAATACATGGAGATCGACATAACACGGCTGATTAAAAAACTTACGGCGAGTTCACATTTTTCAAAACTAGCCTGTCGTGAAGTTAGTAAAGCGCTAAACACTTTATCAAAGTTGTAATAATATCGGATGCGTGTGCAAATTTTGAGAAGGCAATTTCCAAGGCAATGGCGTTTGAAGCAGACGATTTTTGCTCGCAGCGGAGATGGGCTTTTCGGGTTGGCCGGAGCGGGTCACGTGAATGGTGTGACGTCGCCGTGTCGTCTGCTGCATGATGCGGCTCAGGCAATTTTTAAAAAAAAGTTACGTCCTTGTATGGCACAAAACTTATCGCACATTATTCTAAAATGTTTCATTATTATGTCAAAAATGATTTCCATTCCGTACATCCACACAACACTGAAGAAACAACGATTTTCTCACGTTCTCCATGCATTTCTGACCGCAGTTGGAACCTCCGGGCGTTCGCCGCTAGTCGCCGAGAGACGGCGTTCTAGATTGCGCTAGTTTAGAGTTCCTGTATACACCTTTCCAAAAAATGCTCCTAGGCCGCCGCCATGTTGCTGATGCTGATGCGGCTGGTGCGACTCTCGCGCCCTCTATCAGCTAGAAGTTTTCTGCCACTCTCTGGGACTGTGAAGACCCGCTCAGCGCGATTCTCTACATGCATTTTAGCCGTTTTGCATTCGACGTTTTCTCGTCTCTTGAAAGTTTCCACTTCATTTTTTTATGCGTGCTGCCTACCCTTCTTGTGTTATCTTCCATTGTGAGAAATAAGGCTGGTAAGTGCCTGTCATTCAAGCTTTTCTGCTCGACATTCACGGGAAACGAAGCAGGTGAAGGACGTCGAACGACCCTCGACGCGATTTTGCGAACATTGTTCTCCCCCCTCCCAGAGATAATCCGCGTAGAATCCTCAGTCATCTCCAAAAATAGTTGCCCGGGTTGGGGTGAGAAACGGGTCAGTCGCGTTTGTTTCTTTGCCTTGGTGCGGTTGTGAAAAAAAGGAAGCTCTCCCCGAAACGTGCCCCAAACGAAGTCATCTCGGATTCCGTCCGATCGTCAAGATGTGACTGTCGTCGACTGTGACTGTGTTATTTGAGATCTTTCTCAAATAAATTCTTTTTGGATAACGCTGCATCGTGTGGTACGTACGATATATTGTTCGTATGTTAGCACTTCCTCAATTGTATGTCCGTGTCCTGTCCATCGGTAAACAGGTTATTTGTGAGCGTGAAAAATGCATGCCTTTCAGCCGTCTTCTGTTGCAATTTATTTTTGACAGCAAAGCGCTTTGTCGCTTCACATGCGGCGAATCCCGCGGCGTCGTCAAAACTGATCGTAAGAAAAAAACAAATAACTAGAACTATACATTCCAGTCGCACTCGTTCTGTCGCGCGCGTACCCAACAAAAACAGTTTACAGTTTTTTTTTTGTTTTTTTTTTTTTTTTAGTGTGACACAATGCTTTCTCAATGCCCTCGGGAAAATACATGTACAATGAAACACAAAATATTGCGGGAAAAAACGAGAATTTAGCCGCCAGCAGCGTTTGAAACTGCGCCTACGCAGGCTGCGCCTATTGAAATCACAGTCCGCTCGGTTAGGGTTAGGAGGGACGCCGGTGAGAGTCTAGCCTCAAACTCGGTGACTGGGCTCGAAAACGGATTGTGGTCCCTGGGGTCGAGTGTTTTTTGGAAAGGTGTATAGCTACCTAGGGTAGCAGAGTTGCGCATTCAGCCTCGGCGCGTGGCCGTAGCGCCGGCTTTCCCGCACGAGCTGGATGCTTTGCTCCTCACGTGACTAAATTTGGCGAATAGCGGCGCCGCGCGCGCCGCCGCGCATGGAAAACAGGAGAGGAGGAAAAGGAGGCGGAAAGCAGGGAAACATACGCCGGGGCAAGAGAAACGTCGGCGGAGCGACCGTAAAGGTGGCTTTCTTGAACGCCAACGGATGCTTTGCTCCTCACGTGATGGATCTCGGCGAATAGCGGCGTGGCGGCGCGGGGAAAACAAATGCGCAACTCTGGCTCCCGTAGGGAGCCCATACAGGAACTCTACGCTAGTTTGCACTGAGTAGCGCAATCCTTTGAACCCCGTGTTTTGCCGACAAGATGGCCGACAGAGCGGCTCGGCGCGAGTCACGTGGTACTCAGGGTTCCAAGAGGCGGCCCGCCCTATGGGAGAATACATGGAGATCGATACAACACGGCTGATTAAAAAATGAACGGCGAGTTCACACTTTTCAAAACAAGTCTGTCGTGAAGTTAGTAAAGCACTAAACACTTTGTCAAAGTTTTAATAATATCGGATGCGTGTGCAAATTTTGAGAAGGCAATTTTCAAGGGAATGGCGTTTGAAGCAGACGATTTTTGCTCGCAGCGGAGATGGGCTTTTCGGGTTGGCCGGAGCGGGTCACGTGAATGGTGTGACGTCGCCGTGTCGTCTGCTGCATGATGCCGCTCAAGCAATTTTTTAAAAAAAAGTCAGGTCCTTGCGGGGCACAAAACTTAGCGCAAATTATTCTAAAATGTTCCATTATTATGTCAAAAACAATTGCCACTCCGTACACCCCCACAATACTGAAGAAACAGCGATTGTCTCACGTTCTCCATGCATTTCTGACCGCAGTTGGAACCTCCGGGCGTTCGCCGCTAGTCGCCGAGAGGCGGCGTTCTAGATTGCGCTACTCAGTTTGCACTACGTTTGCACCATTTGCAGATGACGTTGAAAACTGTTTCCAGATGATCTCTATGGTTTCCAGCGAAAGTTTTTGCTTTAGAAACCCAGCACAGGCGCGAGTCCGTAGAACCATTGATCTCCATCGATGCAAAAGTGCGACACTGACACGCGAGAAGTGATCGTGTTTAGACTACGCCAACTACGCTCCCGGCCGCCGAGTACGATGGGGAGATCCCATGACAACTCCGGTGACCTGCTTCAAGTTCGTGCAGTCGCGAAATTTAAACACTCGATAATTCGTGTAGTCGAGTAGACTACAAAGCATCGTGTCCGTCACGGGAATGCAACGGCAGGAGCTGGAGCTAGTGAACGAGTACTGGAATTCTCTTGCTACCAGCGTGGCCGAAATGGGTTACTTGAAGAAATAAGAGTTTCAGAACCACCTTTAGACAGCTGATCAGGAAAGGCTTGTGCAAGTGCCTATGCAACCCAAAGATCAACGGACAGTTAGAAAGAGTGAACAGAACTGTGGTTCCCATAGTTGCCTCATCCGTGCAATATTATTTTATGATTAGGATGCAAGAACAAAAGGAGACCAATCTCAACCCCTTTTTGTCTTTGTTGGCGTAGTGAATGACGGTCATAATTTGTTTGTGTTGTTTGTTTTGAAAGCCTCTGTGGAGTAGTATGTAATGAGTTCTTAGTGCATGCCCAGTGACTTGCGCCTTTGCATGCTCGCAGTTGTATGTGCCTTTGACTGGGCTCCGGTAAATGACGAAGCCAAGTATAGTTTTGGTTTAGGTATTTATCTTCTCACTTTTAAGCCATGGCTTTCATTACCTGAATACTGTGTTTGATTTATAGGTTTAGCTTCTCACACTCATACTATGTGTCTCAGTTTAAAACTAGTGTTGGTTTAGATATATTCCACATATTTATACTCTTCCTTATACATGGCTTGTGCCTGTTATCACTACACTATGCTGGTGGCCATTCCTACTTATTCTTTAGGGCAGGGGTCCCCAACCCCAATCCAACCAGCCTGTGGTTGTTCCAATAAAGACCGGCCCGCTTACAGCATACCCAGTGCTACCGGCGCAAAATGAAGTGCACATAAAGAAACGACGCTGCAACGCACCCCAAATGTGCAAACGAAGATGCCAGAAAGAATGAGATAAACTGCACTGTAATGTGGCTCCTCTTGCCATAATATTTATAGAACACTGTCACCAGCATCGCCATTCTTAGTCCCCTGCTTTATGCTTCCAACTGCCAAAAATTTTTTGCATTCTCAAGTACATTGTGCTTAGTGCCCTTTGTCACAAATATTTCCAAATATCGTTTGCATTACTTTTATTATTCTCGTTAGTCTTACGCTCTGGGCAAATGTGTCAAATTTTGCACGCGCCATTGCAGCCGGTGCGACATTGCAAACCACACATACGAGCTCTCATAGTTCTAGCATAACCTTCGAGCCCAATAGGCTCGCTTCAATATAGTATCTTCTCAAGAAAATCATCTTTAGCCGTAAAAATGTTTGTGAAGAGATCCAACCGCAGCATCACCAAGCAGTTAACGTTAGAATTACACCCACGGGGGTAACAAAAACAATGTCGCCACTCCGGCCTGTGAACGATGCAGCATGCGCCGTACATGTGACCAGCACCTGCTCGGCACACGGGCCGAAATGGGTCCCACCAACGTCGCTCCATTTATTGCCGACGCTTTCTCCATTGCGTAAAGAATTCGAGTTCACAGGCCTCGTGTTGGGTAAGCACTGAGCTCTGGAGAAAACAAAGTGGAGAGAGCACCCCCATACCGCGATATCCCGGGAGATAGCCCAGCTAGGATCGAAAGCAAAGCGGGTGAAGATATAAGTAAACCGAGTTTCAATCTGTGATTAAAAAAAAAAAAGGGTAAAAAAAGCTAGGTTTAGATTTTGTGACCTGCGAATCTTGCGATTGCAGAGAGGGGTGATGAACCAAAGACGGCCGTCCTTCCCAGTCAGAAATGTTAGCTTATCTTGAGTCGTGCCTAAGTAGCTCCATTTCTGCCGAGGTCGCCATTGGCCGGGGCCTCGCAGTTACTACAAGTGGGTTATCTTTTGTTGTGTTTGAAAAAATAACAAATCGTGCAAAAAAAAAAAGGAGTGGGCTATCTTCCGGGATGTTGCTGTAGTTTCATCTCCTCGCCAATATGACTTGACTACAGTTGGGATTACAAACGCGCAATCCCAGCTAAGCGTGTGTGCCGTTCTTGCCTCTTACCGCCCTTCCGCCCACATACAGGGCAGGAGGAGACGCCGTCCGTAAGGGCGGAGGACACCTTATGCAGGGACTGCGGCAGCGTTTTCTCTTCCTGGTACTTCCTGGAAAGACACCAGGAGCTGAGACACCGAGAGCGCAGCAGCAGGTACTGCTGCAGCCTCTGCCCGTACTCCAGCTACAAAAGGGACAATGTGGTCAAGCACGAGAGAGTCCATACGGGGGAGAAGCCCTTCGTATGCAGCACCTGCGGCAAGGCCTTCACGCAGCAGAGCAGCCTCAACGTTCACCAGACGGCGCACACGGGAGAGCGACGGCACGGGTGCATCGAGTGCGGGGCCGCCTTCCCCAAGAAGAGCGACCTGATTCGGCATGCCCGCACCCACTCCGGCAGCAAGGCATACTCGTGCCACCTGTGCGCGTTTCGGACGAGCACCTCGAGCAACGTGAAGAAACACGTGATTGCGGTGCACACCAAGGAGTTTCCCCACATGTGCGAGCGCTGTGGGAAAGGCTTCGTGGCCCCGTACGCGCTCAGGGCCCACTTGGCCAAGAAGCACGCCCACGAAGATCAGGAGGACTAGCAGACGGATCCGCGGCACCTGTGCGCCCTTGGGGGAAGCTTATGCAGCGGAACGAGTCTCCAACCGGTGCGGCTTAACGCGTCCTCGAGTGTGGTTCCTTCATTTCCGCCCGACAAAGTCCTAGAAATGTTGCGTTGTCACCGGCCGCGATCTTGGCGATGTCGCAGCAGACGCCCATTCTGCTGCAGGTCACTCCAGATTGACTGTCCTCGGAAGTTATGGCAGCCGGGAGTTGGGACTCTGCGACGACGGCGATCTCGTTTTTTTGCCGGGGCTCCTATCGCCGACTTGTCGAGACGTCGTTTGTTGCCACTTTGGGGCCGCATTCGACATGCGTGCGGGAAAGGACGTAAAACGGACCAGCCTAAGACGCATTGCAGGCACTGTAGTTGCGCTCACTACGACAGAGGTTGACCTCGAAGAGGAGAGTTTCGCCGAAGGGTCCGTAAATAAATATGTCCGTCGTAGCCTTACTGCTACTGTATGATGGGTGAGAACTCAAGGGGAGGAAGGAGGAATTATTTTCTTATTTTTATACAGTGTCCTAGACGTGGCTTGCACATGATGTTGTCGCACCATGCTGATGGTTGTTCCTAGTTTAGGCTGAGAACAAGTCTGCTGAAGGTGCATGCTTTGCAGCAGGGCCACCGCCGCGGCAGCTGTTGCGGCATCGATGCCAGCCATGTATAGGAGTCCTAGTGTTTTTTTAGCGGAGCCTTTCAGCTCGACAGGTTCCTGTGCATATAGTATTTTCTCGAGAAAATCGTTTTTAGCCACGGAAGTACAGAGCTATAGTCTGTTGCAGGCTAAGAAGTGCAGCACAACTTTCTCCCTGAAAGTGCTCAGTGTGGTGGTTTGCTCTCCCTTCCCCTCCAGTGGTTTGCTCCACTAAAGTAACAGGAGTGGAAGACTTCGTGGGAGGAGTTTGTCCAGCCATTCGTAACTCGCAACAGACCGCAGTCAGTGTTACGGATGTGCAATCCCAGCGAAACATGCGTACGTGTGCCAATCAAACGTTGCGCCCCTCCCCTCCTTTTCCATGCACAGAGCAAGAAGGGCTGCCGTTATTCGCAGCGGCAACGGAGACCTTCCGGCACAGAGAACGCGACGGCCTCTTCTCCTCCCAGCACTTCCCGGGGGGTCGCCGGATGCAGACGCACTTGAGGACGGGGGGCAGGTACCGTTGCAGCCGCTGCCCTTACTCCAGCGACAAGAAGGACAACATGTCCAGGCACGAAAGAAGCCACACGGGGGAGAGGCCCTTCGTCTGCACCACCTGCGGCATGGCTTTCACCGACCAGGGTCACCTGACCAGGCATCGGACCGTCCACACGGGAGAACGGCCGTACGAGTGCGCCGAGTGCGGCGCGAGTTTTACGCAGAAAGGCGACGTGGTCCGGCACGCTCGCACCCACTTGGGGGACAGGGCGTACTCGTGCCACCTGTGCGGGTACCGAGCCAGCGAGTCGGGTAATGTGAAGAAGCACGTGATTGCGGTGCACTCGAAGGAGTACCCCTACATGTGCAAGCGCTGCGGGAAAGGGTTTGTGGCCCCGTCCATGTTGAGAGCCCACTTGGCCGTAAGGCACTTTTACAAAGACGAGGAGTGCTAGCGAGTGCGAGGAGCACCCAAGGGGCGTCCCTGGGGGGAGTGCGGCGCTTGTGACGGCGGAGGTTGTCGCCAAAGAGTCTGCGAATAAACGTTGTCGTTGGAGTTCTGTCCTCAAGGTTGTCCCTGAAAAGGATTTATGGGGTTTTTTGTCGCCGCAAAATTAAAAACTAGCGTTGCCATATGCTCGCTTTCCCCGCCCCAATTTGGCATTGGCGGTCCAAACCAGATGCTGAAGTTTCAGAACTGACCGTTGTCTCGTTCAAAAGTTATGGGGGGTTTTCTGAAATTTTCAATGGGAAAATGGCGGTCAACAGAGCTCTCGAAAACGTGGAGCTGAACGGTGCCAGTCACCGAAAACGGGCAAAGACGGGCCCGTTTTCGGTGGGCCCGTCTTCGGCAATTTTGGGAAAATTTAATAACTCTCGAGGATGGGATAACAGTTAGTTCTGAAACGTTGGCATCTGGTTCAGATGGGAGGCACTCACTTGATCGAATGACGTTTTAGCGAACGCCCATGTTTCATCGAACGACACTTTAGCGAATAGTCGGACGCCGCGAAGCGGCGTTTTCGGGTGGGCCAAGTGAGTTCATATTTTGTAATGCGTTGCCGCAGACTGTCGCCGCGAAGCGGCGTAAAGCGCAGCGCGACGGATGGGTTAATGCGCGCCCCCGTTATTCGCTAAAACGACCATTCGCTCAAATGTCGCCGTTCGCTAAAATGTCATTCGCTCTTGTGATATGAATGACGTTTTAGCGAACAGCGACATTTGAGCGAATCGACGTTTTAGCGAATAACGGGGGCGCGCGTCAACACATGCGCCGCGCTGCGCTTTCGCCGCTTCGTGGCGACAGTCTGCGGCGGCTCGTTACAAAAATGTGAACCCTATTGGCCTACCCAAAAACGCCGCTTCACGGCGTCCGACTATTCGCTAAAGTGTCATTCGGTGAAACGTGGGCGTTCGCTAAAACGTCATTCGATCAAGTGAGTGCCTCCCCTCCGGTTCAGATACCTAGCACTGCATTTGGGCAAGGAATGAGCATTCAGCAACACATCGTTTATTTTTGAAAAAAAAAAAAGAAATCATTGGTCATTGTCAGAAATGTTGAAGTTCTTTTCGAGGCATCTGTTTGGTATCGTCGCTGCTCAGCAAAGAACATGATGTGAATCTCCGGGATTGCGGGTACCAGTAGCATTTATTCTCGTGAAGAAACTTGTCGGAAAGAAAGCAAACAATATCGTCTTTCTCGCTGACGTGTTTATTTTTCATTGCAATTCACGCTACAGTCGCCCGTAATGTAACCTTTTGGCTCAATGAACAGGGGGCTTAGGTGGCCGTTGACTCGCATGAATTTTGTTTTTCTCGTACCTTTTGATCCAGGTAACGTCATGCTCTCAAAATTATGCATTTTGTCACCATTGCTAGCATCAAGTTCTCACGGAGCTTCCGCTTTCCAGAAAACCGAGTTTCACTGTCTTGATTGACCCCCAGCTCCCGCAAAGCCATCCTCCAGACAACACCCGATATCCTCGGGACGTCCTCAAAAGGTACAAACGTCCTCGCGGTTTTCAAGACGTCGATCCTCAGGACATCCTGAGAACGTCAGTCGCTGGATCATTCTAAAAGCCTCCTTCTGAGGACTTATTGAGGACGAAGGATACAAAGCAGAGGTAATATATACGTCCTCAATTTGATTGCGTTTTTAAAGGAGTATATGACTGAAACGGCGGTTCATGTTTACTGCTAAACTAAATTTCACATACAAATTATTACATGTAAGTGTGTAAGTTTAGGACATCTTTTAACTATGTATAGTCTTGACCCAACAATTCTTTAATAAAACCAAGACACACTACAATTATTATTAGTTTTGTATTTGCACAGGATTTTGGAATTGAGTTCCATTAGTTAGTTGGCGGTACCTAACCCCTTTTGAGACGGGGAGGTCAGCAAAAGTTCAGATTGCCGACACAGGTAAAAGTTTTAGTTCTTGTTTTGTTTTAGCTTTTCCCACTTTTGGGACACTTTCACTGGTTGGCGATCAGACGCAGTCTCTCCCATTCAACGAGAATGCGCTTGGTTGCTAGTGAACCGTGGGCTCCTTCCCCGAATCCCAGCATTTCGGGAATCCTCTCTTCGCTGGTCGGCCAGGGCGGTCGACAGTGGTCTAGGGCAGGGCACCACAGCAACACATGGGGGACGTCCTCGCTTGACTGCATTCAGTCTAAGTCATCTAAGTGGCGCATTCAGTCTAGGTGGCGCAAGCTACAGCCTACTACAAGGCGTACCGTTATTGCAATTATCCACCAGACAGAAGCCCGTGAAGCTGCGTGAGCTTGCTGCTGATATTGCGCCGAACACGTTGCAGTGTTGGTGTTATTTTATTTTTGATTGCCACTTATTGTGGGACGAGTGAGAACGGTCCGATGTTTGAACTCGGTAAAACTGTAAGACGTGCAAAAGAGCCATGAAAAATCGAACGCTGGTTGCGGCGAGTTGCAATTCTTGTCGAGAAGGATCACCTCGTCAAACCAAGTTGCAGGGGTTCTTCGGATGTTGTCAAGCCATGCCAAAATAATAATAAAAAAAAAAAAAAATTGAGCACACCTTGTGCAGGAGACGGCGGAAAGCCAAGAGACTGAACGGACGGGTCCATATCACAAGAGTGAATGACATTTTAGCGAACGGCGACATTTGAGCGAATGGTCGTTTTAGCGAATAACGGGGGCGCGCGTTAACCCATCCGTCGCGCTGCGCTTTACGCCGCTTCGCGGCGACAGTCTACGGCAACTCATTACAAAAATATGAACTCACTTGGCCCACCCGAAAACGCCGCTTCGCGGCGTCCGACTATTCGCTAAAGTGTCGTTCGATGAAACGTGGGCGTTCGCTAAAACGTCATTCGATCAAGTGAGTGCCTCCCGTGTACAGTCATGGGCACGTTACCAGTAAAAAGCAACAGTGTTACAGTTATGTCACAAATTCAGGCTTTTCTTGATTTTGTTTTTCATTTTTATTATCTTTTTTTTTTTTTTCTCGGACCACTTTAAGTGTTGGTACGGTCCGGGAACGGGGAGTGCCGTGCCGCTTTTAATCTCCAGTTCGTCCCGTCGTATTATCCTTTCTACGTCCCCAACGGGTTTGCTCGTTTTCGGGGTAGGTATTTGTGGACGGGCGACTCAGATTAGGCTTCACCCCGGGGCAAAGTTAATTTGTGGCTTGGGCCTCGCGGACGGAGGGGTGCGTTTGCGGACTCTGGTGCCGACTTGACACGCGAAGGCGACGCCGGGATACAAAGATGTCTAAGCTGGCTGGCGCGCCTTTTGAAGGCGGCGACTTTCTTCAGTCTGGCGCCTGTCGTTGTTGTCGGGTTCTACGTATCGACGATAATTGATGTTTTGGACTCGTACGGGGGAAATGGATGGCCTGTATGTTTTCCCATTTGGGTCGGCGCCGGATAGCTTTGCTTTTCTGGGAAGTGGACTGACCCGAAAGGCGGGAAAACGGGAGGTTGGTCGGTAGTCGAACCTATAAAAAGGGGTTCTGGAACAAAGGAGGTAGTCGAGCCCCGGAGCTGGCCGGGGTGCTGCTCGACGCAGTCACTCCCTGCACGTGAGTTTTTGAACGTTTAATTTTTCGGCTTCTGCCCTGCCTGGCGGGCAAGTGTTTGAGTTGGTTGTGCTGAAGCGTGCGTGGCTGTGTGGTGCGCGGTGTCGACCTCATCAAGCTTCTAACCGGACCGCCTGACTCCGAGACATCGTTCTTCGGCCGACATCTCCAGACAACGGACTGCTCTGGACTCAGCACCTACCGGAAAGCTAAGCTGTTTTTTGTTTGTTTTGTCTACTTCATCCTCCGGCTCTGAAGTACGAACTGTTGAACTTTGGGACATTTTTATACGTAGCGCTACTTTCTGTCGCGACTGTTTTGGGGGATTGTCCCTTTTGGGTAGCGGTAACGTTCGAGTTCCGTCTCGGTTTGCCCTTGTTTTTGGTTAGTGTTGGGATTTCGTCGCGGTTTTGTCGGCTCGATCCTGTTTTACGAGTGTCGTGACTTTTTTAGTATTAGTTTCTGGCCCGCGGGACCCCATTGCGTTTAACTGGAGCGAGGTTTGTGTAGAGTGCTCTTTTGCCGTCCGCGGCGTAGTATTTCACTTTATTAAATTTTTAATCTTTTGTTTGCTTATCCTCCCTGTGTCATCGTCTCTCTTTCCTGATTTTACACCTGGCGTGGACCTAGCGCTAGTCACCGGTCGAACTTAGCTCTTTTGTTCTTTTTCCGTAATTTCTCGTTTATCCTCAGAGTGGATCATTGCTTTATTTTTATTAATTTAACCACCCACTCCGTGACAAGTTACCTAGGAGGAAAAAGTAACTCTGTTACAGTTACAGTTACCGGTTTCAAAAAGTAGCGTGTTACAGTTACTGAAAAAACAGTAACGCCGTTACTTTCTTGTTACAGTACGAAAATTGGACACAAGAAATCACAAACTATAACAATATTATTTTATTCATTACAGTACGGTGACAGGAAAAGTAAGCTGAGAAAATTTAAAAAATTCAAACCCGAAGGGTGTTTCTTTTTTGCGTCATTCGCCATTTCAGCATTTTGAAGTGCATAATTTATTTCCAATACTTGTTATAACTTAGAATCAACCGTTTTTCAAAATTGTCATCGACCCGCGTCAGTGAACGTTTTGGTTTATTTTCCACTCTGAAACGAATGAGGACAGATTGTCACATATATTTTATGGGATATATCCGAAACGCCAATTGTGGATGTCATGTTTACTCGAGCGGCTCCGAATAGAATAAGTTACACAAGCACCGGCTTTCTGCACAATATGGGGACGGCTTCCTTGAAAACTAATTGGGATAAGGAAACGGTGAACGGCTGGGTGTAAAAACGACAGCACGGACATATCCCAGATACAGCCCAAACCGAACACTCGGAGACATTGTACGACCACCGGTCGACACCCACAGATGGTTTCCCTCCCCACGAGAGAAGAGTGAGCCAAAGTTGGTGAAACAGACATTATCTGCCGCCCCTACCGCCGCAGGCGCCGCTTCCTTTATCTCCCGGTTTGGTGCTTACTCGTCCGTCGTCCATTCTGGGTCGTGGGCTAAACCAGGCAATTTTTTGCTTGTTTAATGCATAACCACGCTTTTCTTTTCTCAGCTAGGAGTTCTGGAGAAAAATACTTCAAGATGGCAATTCCTATGCCCGCAGAAGTAGGTTCTAATTTATATAGTAAAAAAAAGAGAAAGTAACTGTAACGGCCTAAACAGTTACAGTTACCCAATAAAAAAAGTAACAGTGTTACAGTTACAAGTTACCAGTATTAAAGAGTAACACGTTACAGGTAAAAGTTACTGGAAAAAGTAACTAGTTACGGTAACGCATTACACTAGTTACAGCCCAAGACTGGTCGTGTACTAGTGCGAGCAAAGCACGGGCATGAGCCGGCGAAAGCAGGTTAGAGACTACGCTCCCGTCCGCCAAGTTCAATGCTGATGGGGAGATCCCATGACAACCTTGGTGACCTGCATCGTGATCTCGCAGAATTTAAACACCGTTGATAACTCCTCTGGTCGAGCGGATTACATCGAGTGCATTACGCGAAAGCAACGGCAGGAGCTCGAGCTTCTGGAATGAGCAGCTGAGCTGCATTGTACCACACTAGGATATATTGACTTGAAAGAAGAGCTGTTGTACAACTGTTGTCTCCTTTACTTCCCAAGACCTCGGCAGAGGACGAGCAGCGCATTGATGGTTTAAGGACACTTGTGCAAAGGCACCTTCAAGCCACAGACCAAAGGACAAGCACACCTTTACCTTTATTGGCCAACTGAATGACAGTCATGTCTGTTTAATTATGTCGATTCCTTTGAAAGTCTTTTTTTTATTCAAAGCTTTTATTATAGCTTTAGCTGTTATCCTTCCTCAATCTGCTTTGTTAGTGATATGTGCCTGGTTTTGTGGGTATGAATGTGGTGATCTGCTGTATCCAGAATGCAAGTCATCTGCTACTTGCGCAGGAGTTGCGGTGACATCGGGAGGACGTCAAGCTTTGATTGAAAGGGTAATGGGTAGACCTTATTGCTAGATGCCTTGAGGTCTACCCACTATTTTTTTCGATCGGCCAATAAGAGCTCGGCATTCTGACATTGTCGCAACCCTTCTGCAAGGAGCAGACAAGCTTTCGCTCCGCATTGATCGATTGGATATTTGTGCTTTTTCTTGCTGTTGCATTTTTCTGCTCTTCTCTGCTGAGCTATGTACAAGGCTAATGGGGCCTCGTCACATGAAATTAGTCCAAGAGTCGAAATGAAATTTCCATTGTTTGCCAGACCTGCTGGACATCTTTTTGGGGTTTGGTGGCCGTCGACATAATGCACAGTCAATGGTTGACCCCCTTCTTTCCTAGATTTCTTCCTGTCCAGCTTTCTCTACTAAGGCTGAAAGAATGGAGGGCTTTTGTGGGATTGCCCTGCTTTTCTTAACTCTGCGAGCGCCCGATCTCATTCGCCTTATGCCGAACGGAAATTTCGGTCCCACTAGCCTCGTAGCCTGCTCCGTGAAGAATACTTTTTTTTCATCAAAGACATTATTTTATGGGCAGAACGTTAATTGATGTATACGTGCTCAACATGACATATATCTCTCGTGTCATGCTTTTCAAAACCCAGTACCGTGCAGTGGTGCTTTGACCTTGCTCGCTGAGGTCCCTCCCCTAAAGGGATGGCGAACCAAACATTTCAGTGTCTATAATAAGCGGCGCACTATCTTTTCATGAGTCACCAGCCCCTGATGACTCATTGAATTGACGACATCATATCCCCCATTCATGCTTATTAAGCGTGAATGAAGATATGATGACGTCAATTTCGTTTTGTGTGTGACACCGGCGGCTGCTGACTCATGGAAAGATAGTGTGCTGCTTACTATAGACACTGAAATGTTTGGTTCACCGTCGGCCTTTGTCAGTTCAGAAATGTAACTTCCTCGTTTTCACGGCCGTCGAATACCGGGTCCGTCAGTAATTTCTGATCCCAAAAGGGAAGTCACCTAAACAAAACAAAATACGTTCCATCAGAAAATGACACACCACAAGATAAAGCAGTATTTTCATCGCTTGCTCCTGCATGCGGCTATGTGCGGAAAAAAAAAAAGTGACGGCCCAGTCTAAACGGGCAGAGAGGGAATTGAAGTGACTTTCGGAGTATGCCCAAGTGTATTCGGCCGTGTCACTCTGGGGGTTAACTTGCAATAGACGGCAGTTGGGGTTACGCGCGCAATCGCAGCTAAGTGCGTGTGCCGTTTTAACGTCAACCCCCCCCCACCCCTCCTCTTCGACATACAGAGCAGGAAGGGACGCAGTCGTTTGCATGGGCACTGGAGACCTTCTCTTGTGGGGACTGCGACAGCCACTTCTCTTCCCGATAATTCCTGAAGAGACCCCGGACGCAGGCCCATGTGGAGCACAGGCATCGGTGCAGCCTGTGCCCCTTCTCGGGCAACGACAAAGACCGAGTGCTCAAGCACGAGAGAATCCACAAGGGGGCGCGGCCCTTCGCCTGCGGCACCTGCGGCAAGACCTTCATGCGGCACTATGACCTGGCAGAGCACCGGAGGTTGCACACGGGAGAGCGGCTGCACGTGTGCTCCGAGTGCAGCATGAGTTTTACCAAGAGAGGCGACCTGGTCCGGCACGCCCGCACGCACACCGGTGACAAGCCGTACTCCTGCCACCTATGCGAGTACCGGACCGGCGACTCTGGGAGTGTGAAGAAACATGTGATCCAGGTGCACACGAAGGAGTTCCCCCACACGTGCGAGCACTGCGGGAAAGGGTTTGTGGCCCCGTTTGAGCTGAGGGCCCACTTGGCCAAGAAGCACCACCAAGTAAACGAGGAGTACTAGCGAGCGCGAGGAACAACCCTGTGCATGGCCGCGGGAGGGGGGAGGCGGAGTAACGTTGTTGGAAAAGGGCCCAAACGGAAAATGAAGGAGGCAGATGGGGCACATGACTCACCATTTTTGGTTCTGTCCCTGCGTCCAAAGTCGCCATGCATGCCAAAGTGGTCGGTGGGAAACAAATTAAATGCTGTGGGCAACTCAATCTCTGCAACCTCGTATGATATTTGATAAGGCCATGTGCTAAGAACTTTCATGTCCTAACGTGACAATTAAAAAAAAAATGAGCAGTGCAGCGAGTTATTTTTACTATGAACAATGACATGCTTAATCTCTGGTACTCTGCAGAAGATGGAAACATCTGCTGGATTATCTATTCTCAAATGCTAAGTTGTATCGATGCTCGTGCAAGGTCCTTTGGCGCCAGTCCGTAAATTTTTTCTGGGAGTCTAGCAAGTTTCATATACCGCTGCAATTCCATGTTTTAACGAGGTGGCTTTTGTGATGTACAACCTTGGGTGACCAACTTGAAACATTAATTGTCTAGCAATCTTATAAATAAAAAGGGGAAAGGACACAGTGGCATAAAAGCAAAATAGACTGAGTGTTGCTGGTTTGCCTGGCAGGGCTATTATAAACACTGCTTTTAAGACAGCGGAACCATTGCCTCGAGGGCACATCGCCAGACGTGCTTAAAACTGAGAAATTTCCGTTGCTTATTCTTAGGCAATCAAGAACCTCGTTTCCTCGCTCCATTGTTGTCGGACCAAGATATGCTGTTTTCTGTGTGCCAATTGTGCATTAAATGAAGGTAGAAAATACTCAATTCTGTATTTTTATCATTTTCTTTTAAAAATTACTACTACATCCTCGTGGGTCCATATCATTTTGTTGAAACAGATTTCGTGGACACACGTTTTGTACACATTTCGATGATACACGTTTTGTATACATGCTCGGCAGCAAGGTGACCACCCCCATAGCAGCTGGTGCGATATTGATGCAAGCCATGTATACAAGTTTTCCTCGCATTTTCTAGCATAGAGTAGGAGCCCAATATGTACCCGTGTACACAGTGTCTTCTCCAAAAAAAATCTTTTTCTCCATACAATTACTGAACCATGGTCAATGACGGGACAAGAACGGGAGGGAGACCTCTCGGTTGCCTCGCCTCGAGCGCTAGCTTGATATCTTCTAGAGCTCTTTGGCATCTCGTGGGCCACGAGCGTGCACACACAGCCAAAGTATGACAGGAGGAAACGAGTGCACGCTGGACGCCAGGCATCCGGAAGAGACGCTCTGCCGTTCTCACCCTGCCAGTGCCTATACTACGTTCGGCGTTAAGCCGAGACTGCAGCCAGAGCTAGAACTGCGAGCTAGCCCGCGCTCCCTTCGTTGAAATGCGTGTTTCAAGCGCATGCACGTGTTCTGGGGAAGAAAGTTTCAAAGTCGAGGTTTTTTGCTGTCACAGTTGTAGCTTCGAGGCCGTGTTGGCCTCCAATCCCCAGGTGGCAGGTTCAAACCCCGGCCAGGGTGGCCACGACTCGACAAAGGCTCGTTGCAGAAAAGGCAGCACGTAATGAGGTTTCACATGCGTGCCCAAAGATCCCCAGGTCGTCCAAATTAACCCTCGATCCTTTGCCGGGGCATGCCAGACGCCCTTCGTTGATCTGGCACTTAGAACCTCCGAATCTTATCTTTTGTGGAATGTTTTACGGGTTGTTTCCAACGAGAAAATTGGCACGAATGAGCGTCGTAAAGGAACGGCATGCTGGGAGTCTTACGCAGTCCAGTTTTTCCGCTAAATTTAACGGGGAAATTAATGTCACATGACCTAAACACCAATCCAGTGCCGGCTTCCAGCTAAACTTAGCGGAGGAAAAAATCAATGTCGCGTCACCTGATGTCACGGAAACAATACAATGATTCAGTGTCGGCCCTTAATTTAGCGAAAAAAGAAATATAATAAATGTGTGCGGTTTCTGCGGGAAAGGTTTTCTGCTCTCTGGTATTTGTCAGTATGATCAGGTTTGTCTAAAAACTTTTTTTTGTATTTTGTAACCTCGGCTGTAGTTGGGGGTTACAATTGTGCTATCGGAGCTAGATGTCTGTGCCCTTTCGACGTCACCCCCAACCACAATCCTTCTCTTCCGCATTCAGACGAAAAAGAGACGCTGCCCGTCAAGGTGGCAGCAAAGACCTTCCCGTGCTCGGACTGCGACAGCCTCTTCTCTTCCCGCCAGTACCTCGAGGACACTGGAAGAAGATGCACCAGGAGCACAAGCACCGGTCCAGCTACTGCCCTTTCTCCAGCGACAGAAGGGACAGCCTAGTCAAGCACGAAAGGACTCGCACGGGGCAGAGGCCCTTCCTCTGGGCACCTATGGCAAGGCCTTCACACTGCAGAGCCAGCTGGCCAGGCGCCAAGGCGTCCACACCGGAGAGCCGCTGCGCAAATGTGCCATCTGCGGGCAGCGGTTCACAGACTTGAGGAGGCACGGAATGACGCACACCGGGAAGCGCCCCCACATGTGTGCCGAGTGCGGCACAAGTTTCACGCAGAGAGGCAACATGATTCGGCACGCCCGTACCCATTCCGGCAACAGGGTGTGCTTGTGCCACCTGGGCGGACACAACGCTGGACACTTGAAGAAGCACGTGATTGCGATGATCTCGAAGCTAGGACCCCCCACACGTGCGAATGCTGCGGAAAAGGGTTGGAGTCCCTGTCGGCGCTGAGGGCCCACTCGGTTAAGAAGCACACCCCCGAAGATCGGGACTAGCGAGCATGAGGAACCCGAGGAGGTTCCATCGCAGACAACGCGTGCCGAAACATTCCTCTGCGCTTCTTTGACATACTTGCCAGTTTTCGTGAGGGCTGTGGTTCGAACTATGAACGGAGTGCAAGGTAGAGGTCCCATACTTAGGACTTTTTGACAGGTTGAGAGATAACGGAGCTCGTGGGAACTGCAGACGTGGATAAAGGCCGAATCGGATGTGTCTGCTGGCTGGCAGAAGGGGGGTTGCAGCGGTGGGTGTCTGTGGCCAAGAGCATTTTAGGTCGCTGTGGGTTAACAATGACTGGATAAGCCCCTTCCACAAAGCTTTTGTTCGCAGCGATCGGTGGTGTCCTCCTCTTCGGCGTTTCGTCTGCTAAATCGGATAGATTGGAGTGCTTTGTGGGACGAGCCTGGTCTTACAGTTCTTACGTTGCAACAGACAATGGTGCATCAGAAGCAAGAAATGCTGGGTTCAGTCCCTGCCCCTGCCTTTTTTGATCTACTGGGTGATTCAAGGAGCGGCCAGGCTCTTTAAATCGACCGCAAAATTCGGTTTCTTAACTTATTGCGCTACGACTTTGTGCAGCGGTGCCCACAGATGGTGCATTTTTTTTGTAAAATCTGCAAAGAGCGAACTTACCTGAGGAAAAAGTAAAGAAAGAAAAAGGCTTAGCTCCTATGGAAACGGAACGAAGCCACCAGTCTTCAAACAATACGGCGCCATTTCGCACAAGAGACAAGAGATTGCGCGAGCGGTCGCGATGCGAACTGCGGCCAACGAACGAGCATACGTCGCCGAGAGCCGGCGTCTTTAGTAGATGCTGCATGGTGCACTTTAAAGACCCTAGGCTAGCGGTTTTACGACACTGGCTAAATTTTTTGCCAGGGATTTCCCCAGGAACTGAAATTAGGGGGTTATGTCGTATCAATTGATAAACGGAAAATTAAGAATATATATATATAAATATATTCCAGATTGCTGAGAGGTGCTCGTGGCGTTCTAAGGGAAAGCAGAAAGCAAACTACTAACGTTGTGAAGAAACCGGCATGGAAAAATAAAGTGGCAAATATGCTCACGGCTTCTTTTGTCGGTGCCTGAAATCGCTAGCTGTGCATGCTAAGATACTTACGTCTTGCCCTGTTTACTGTTCTGTCCACAATTTCCGACAACTTCACTAAATGTCAGCGCGTTAAACTACACTCGCAATCGGACAGAATGTCTTACATTCTGCCCGGTTACATTTTCAGAGCCTGACAGAACTTAAATCGAGCAGTTTGTAAACTGGTCGATTTGAGTTCTCTCCGAAATGAACGCTTGGAATCGTCAAATGCGGGATCCGAAACGTTTCAAGCGGACCTCGACAGATCGGCGATATAAAAACAATCCAAAAGCTGTTTTACGATGGTTACACTCGGATCTGACTAACCGAGCTGCTTTCCGAATGATGCTTCTTGATCCGGCGAATAATGCAGGAAGGGAGCAGCAGCACGTTATAAAAGAAATGGGATTGATTTCAAAGCTCACGTTCGAAACGATGAATCAACGGACGCAAGTTTCTGAAGGACTCCGAACGTTGCCGATGGGGATTTCAAATTGATTTCCGGTACGATTTCCGGTTCCGTTTGCCCTGCCATCTGTTGAGAGCGAGAAAAGGTTCGAGAAATGTAACGATAAATGTTTAACCGAGAATTTACATGCAACAAAATGCGAAAACCGGTAATAAAAAGTTATCGTTACTAAGTTTTCCGCGGCGCAGTATCACGCTCTGTTGGTTGATCAAAAAAAGTGGCGGCAAGCGCGGGAAGTTTAGCAGACGACAGTTGAGCGTCACTTGGGAATCCCGCTCTGCGAACGCCACTCGACTGCGTCCCCACGAAAATGTCTTCCGAAGACCTGCCTCGCTTCAGTCTTATACGAAAATACTTCTCGGATGAAGAATGGAACACCATGTCATTCTACGTTAAGTCAAGGATGACCAATCTCAAGGAAAACTACGATCTCCTCATAGGAATGGGTGAGCGTTGGCAGAGCTCTCGAAAAAGCGCGTCTGCGAATTCTGGGAAAGGGATGGCTGCGAAGAATAATTAATGACATAAAACTATCCATTAGTATTCGATATGCTACATTAGGATACTAAGCCCGAACACCGGCTCCCTGGTATATTGTAGTCTGAGCATCGAGGTCCGCTGTTAAATGGAGTCACTCTGGAGTGACAACGACAAACCCTAACGGTTAATCCTCGTGAGATTAAG